CGATCCCGATTGGATCCACTATTGTTATCAGGATCCTTGCGTTCAAGGCGCATGTTGCGTTTCAAGGGTGCCGCGTTTCTCCTCCTATGCAGCGGCCGCCGCCGCGTGATGCGAAACGATGACTGACATGAGCATGCAGGAGCGATCCTTCCTACACGGCGATCGAGAATCCCCAGGAATCCAGGACTATATTTTTGCGTGTCTGCCCTTCCGGGGCCTCCCGAGGCCTCGGAGGGCCTCCCGGGACATCTGGAGGCCTGCGGGGGCCTTTCAGGGCCGAGGATCGAAAGGGCTCGGGATCGAGGATATTCCTCCTCCTCCTCCTCCTCCTCTTCCTCCTCTCTTGCTCCTTCTCCCCCCTTCCCCCTCCTCCCCTCGCCCTCACCCTCCCCCTCTTTTTTTTTGGCAGCAACGCCCATGCCTCCTGCAGTAACCGACGCACCTGTCCGAGGCTCAAACAGGCACCGTGGAGCCAAGCTCCTATAGCAACGCGACAAAGTCGTCAATGTCAACTGTTACCTGAGCCTTGTCAGGATGCAAGCCCTTTTTTAGCTTGCGCAAGTTGCGAATTGACGTGATGGTGGGCTGACCACAGACTTTGCCGAGCTTCAGAATTTGCGAACCGCTGCTATAAAACTTGCAAGACAGGCAAACAAACAAATTCGAACGGTCTGAGCAGGGGAATGCCACGACCTTGTGCCCCAAACTCAGCAGCACACCTTGGTCCAGCCTGGAGTGTCCTGAACAGTCCCCAGGAGGAGGGGCCCGCGCCCGAGAGCCCTTAAGGCAAACTCGGCACTGCCAGAAGGACCCAACTTGCACCCACGAGTGCCCAACTTCCAGAGGAGGGTGACGAGGAGCAGGAGGGAGCCTGGACCTGGCGGTGCCTCGAAACTCAAGACGCGGCCACAAGGGTAATAAAACAGACCCCGCTGTTAAGACCAGACGCGCAATCTTGATCTTCCTATCGAGCTCCTCAACCTCGACAGGGGTCAGGGAAGGGTGCAACAGTGCCGCCTCATTGGCAGCACGGTCCGCAAAGCGGTTGCCAAGCCGCCTGAAACGTTCACTGGCCGAAATGCCACTTTCGTCGACATCCTTGTGTGCCGACACTTTGTGGAGAGCACACAGGTTCGTTCCAAAATGGTGCTTGCCTTGAAGCACGAGACCTGTGTACTGCCTCCTACCACAGAGCACGTCAGCACCGAGCGCCACGTGATCCACAACATTTTGACAGTCACTGAAGCAAACGGACGGAGCATCGGCATAGGCTCCACAGAACGCAAACGCAGCATATTCGGCAGCCTGGGGGGTCTGAGGCCAAGGGGCCCACACAGGCCCCTTGAGGACACCTAGGAGCTCGCCATCATTCCCCACCATGGTCACCGCCCAGCCCGCACGCGACAGTTCTTTTACCACATGCCTGTGGCAAGAGCCGTCCATAAACAAATATCCCCACATGCTATCCCTCGGAGCCACCCTGTCAGCACCACACGCAGGAGGAGGAGGAGGAGGGAGGTCCTCGACATGCCACACAAGGGAGACACCACCATCACACAGGGGTCTTGGGGCAACATCTCCAGGGTGACGGAACGCCCCATACAGGAAGAGCTCTTCCTCATACTCAGGGTCCGACGTATCACACGCAGCTTCCACAAGCCACTCGGGTAGCACTTCCTTGCGCTGCTCATCGCACGCCGTGCAGCAAGAAAGACGATGGTGCAAGGTGTCCTTCGCGACACCGCATAACGGGCAGAGACTCGACACCTCGAAATAGCCAGCCGCCTCGGCATCAGCTCCTGTCCAAAAGGCACGACAAACTTGAGCTCTCATGACACCCTTGGCCTTGGCGGGGATCTTGGACGACGAGAGCTGCTGCTTGACCACATCCCAACACAGCCTGTATCCCACCCCGTACTTATCCCCCGAATCCCTCTCCAGGTTTCTGAGCACCGCGTCGCGACACAAGACCTTGACAAGGCGGGGGGGCGGAAAGCGTCAGCGAGATGTCCATCCCGAAGTCATCCCTGAGGGTAGTGAAGTCTGGCATGTCCCACCCAAGTCGGTAGACACACATGCGGAGGGCCGAGAGCGGGCCACGAACCTTAGACCACGAATGGCTGTCGTGGCTGAAGGTCTGTATCCAGCCCTCGCGCAGATCCGCCCAAGACAAGCACCAAGGAAACGCCCGAGTGTGGCACAGCCAGATTTCTTTCGACCATCTGATAATAGGCGCCACACTCGCTCGCCAGCACGGGTCCCCCTCAAGCAGGCTGAGCACGGCCAGGGAACGCCCTTGCGAGCGTGGCTTGACACACGACATAGCAGCACGACGCAAGGTAGGAGCTCGGCGTCAGACACTCCGAAGATGTCAGACCCGTAGGACGCACCAGCCAGGGGTCCCGCAGCAAACACCTTCAAGCAGCGCCTCCCGAGGACGTCCCCAATCTTTTTGAGCCTCCTGGCTTTGCGAAGCGCAGTCGCAAGACGAGCTTTAAACTTAGCCGCGCGGCCACGGCCAGGCGCCCTCAGGGGACGGCCCGCAGTGTAGTCAACCCCCAAGTTCGTAACTCTTCCAATACCCACACCCTGGCCAGCCAGGGGCCCAAGTTTCTGGAGGAGCTGAGAGGCAACTTCATTGTTGCTGGCAACCATCCCCACTTTGTCCATGGCTAGAAGGCACTGCAGCTCATCAGTGATGCACTTATGCAGCGCTCGGGCTCCGCCCACCAGCGCCCGAACGACCAGCCTGGCGCTGCCCGTGCAGCTGAGACCCAGGTCGTCAACATACGCGTCGAAGTCCAAACCTGGCAAACGAGGGAGCGAGTCGAAGCTGGCCAACGCGAAAACTCTGATCAAGCTAGTGGCGAACGAGCAGCCCGCCACTATGCCCCTGATGACGAAATAAGGCCCTTCGACATAGCCTCCAAGGGCCAGGTACCTAGCGGTAGCATACGCTCGAATGGCAAGTCTAGCGATGCTGAGGGGGAACCCATGTTGCTGACACCTGGAATAGAGCAAACGAAGATCGATGTGTTCATAATACTTCCGAAGATCCCAGAAAATGGAGGCGGACACATCGCCACGGCTGAGTCCAGCCTCGGCCTTGAAGGCTTGCCGCCACACCACGTCAGGGGCGCCCCTGTTGGCCCCCGCCGCCCAGAAGCCCCGAGGATTATTGCTTTCCCAGCGTTGGGCAAACGACCGACGAGCCCGCCCCCAGAGGCGGTGCCAACTGGGGAAAACCCCGATAGGCCGAAACCCCCCAGTGGGCTTGCCCAACAGGGCCCCGGAAATCTGTTGCGGCAGGGATCCCGCGGCCTCCATGACACAAAACCAGAGAGCGAGGCAGTGAAGAGCCTGATCACAGAGCAACGAGAAATGACGACAGTGAAAGCCGTCAACACTTACGGCACTAGACAGCCTATACTTCTTGGAAAAAGCACGCAACCCCGCTGGCTGAAGGACAGGCAGGGGGTTCGAGTAACTCGTCATCGATACCCTTCCCGTCCCCATCCCCCCAAATAGCCGAAAACTTGACAGCCTCGGCCCTCAAGAGGGCCATGGGGTCCGCAACAATGATGCCCCCAGCCGCGAGCGTGGTCGCGGGGGTCCAAGGCTCGGGGTCACGAATGGCTTTCTGAGCGTTACGACTGCCCTTACTCAATCCTTATCGAACCCATTCCTGCCAAGACGCCTTAGACCTGGCAGCAGCCGCGACCTTAGCCTCCAAACAGGCTCGATCGACCAAGTCGAGCAGGGTAGCAAGATCCGCGCGCAGGGCGTCGGCAACAACATTCGACTCTCCACCATCCAGATCGCAGAGCTTAACATCGCCGCCCGACTGACCAGGCGACTTAAACAAGAGACCGCCCCCTGAGCCGCCTTGGCTCGGAGGTTGTCCAGACCTAAAATCGAGACCGCGCTGGGAAGAAACGTGGGGGCGAGAACGATCCAGGCAGCGGGCAGCTAAGCCAGCACTAGCCTGAAAGAACTGGTGCCAGTCGGAGTCCGCCTTGACAGCGACCTCGACGGGCACAGAGACGATGTCGAGAGCCACTCCCCGACCAGCAGGTGGAAGCACCGCTCCATCACTCAAAAGGTAGCTCCTGAGAGCACGAATCTGAGCAGCGAGCCACATGATGGACCTAAGGCTGGGATCCTTGACTTTGCCCGCAGATTTGATAGCCAATTTCCACACAAGCTTGGGGCGTTTACCCCTCATGCCGCGGGCGGGAAGCTCAGCCCCCAAGACGTTAGCCAAGTCAGACTCGGCCGCATTGGCCCACAAACGATAACCAGGCGTGAGCAGGTCCCTGGCTTTCTGCAGATCCCCCGAAAGGACAGCCCTGTGAGCAGCTTCGGCCTTGGCAGTAACCTCGGACCAATCACCAGGGCGCGGTTGAGGCCCCACAGGCGCCGACGGAGGCAAATCGGGGGGGCGGCGGAAAGCGGGAGCTTTGAGAGAGCCGGGGGGGCGGGTGAAATTTAATGGCCACAGGTTTGTGCGGGGAAATATCCGACTCAGTGACCACTCTGACTTGCTGCAGGCACCGCCCCAAGGCTTCCGAGAGAACAAAAAAATCAAAGGTGTCAGGAGACCCACCTCCAGCGGGGAAGTGGGCGCGCCCATCGGCCGACGCAATGACACCTTTCAGAAGCTCCGCAAAGTTGGTTTCAAACAGGACCCCAGGAGAGAAGTTGAAATCACCAGCAACAACAAAATCGCAACCCTGAGACTCCAGAAAGGTCCCAACCGCCCGAAGGATGTCCATGTTAGCTTCCGACAGTCCTTGCGAGTGAACCAGGTAGACCGACACGATGGCGAACGGTGCACACCCAGGAACGTGAATCAGAGCAGCGACTGCTCGTCCTTCAACAAGAACCACTTCAGAAGCTTCGTAGCATCCAAGTCCATCACGAGCCGCCACCATAACTCCCGAAGAAACACCTCCACCTTCGCCGAGCACGCCAGGCGCCCAAACGGTCTTGAACCCAGCCTTCATGCAGATTTCCGACTTCTGATCGATGTCTGAAGCTCTGAGGCGATGCTCTTGGCCAATGACGACGTGGGCCGACGTAGACTCCAGAAACTTGTAGAGCGTGCCCCAAGAGTTCCCATTGACAGTAGCCACCTCCAGCCGGAAATCCGAGGCCCCAGAGGAAAAGGGAAGAGGAAAGGGCCTCGGGGGCTCCAAGGGGTTGAATCCTGGGGTGTCTTGGACGTCCGCAGGGACCAAGGGCGCGACCCAGGAATTGGCTTCGGGAGTGGCGGCTCGGAACTCAGACTGAAACCTCTTAAAAAGCCTGATACCAGAGACTCTGGATTTCGAACCAATGACCGAGGCTCGAGAGGCAAAAAAGTCAAAAACAGACCGAATTCCAGAAACACAAGATTTGCTGAAGCATAAAAATTCCCCCCCCCTCATGACGAGGGGGAGGCTCCACCTGACTCACAGGTATGCAGAGCCGCATCTGCACGCGCACGAATGTCTGCTGGCGGCGCCTCAGCTGGCGCCTGCTGGCTGCTGCCAGCCGTCGGGGAATGCTCACCCTCACCACTCGACGCGGCGGCTGCAGCGGCCTCAGTGCCGACGTCACCCCCACCAGCTTCATGAAGCCCATCCTCACGTTTGCGACGCTTGCCAGCCACACGAGCTTTATGCGCTTGATGTGCTGCTTGGGCGGACCTGGCCTGGTCGACCGCCTGCTGGAACAGCGTCTTAGCCATGTCCGCAATGCCCTGCGACAAGAGTGCCGTGCGCTTCTGAATCTCCTCGCGATCCTCAGCCGACAGCTCGAGCTCGTCGTCATCGCCGAAGTCATCGAGGATGTCGCAGCTGATGATGGAGCTGATGTCCACAGAGCCTGCAAGCAAATCCTCGAGCTTGAGCTTTGCCGCCTCGACGTTGGGCACCACCTTCGAATCAGCAGCAAGCTTCTGGACCGCCTCCTTGTGCACCTTGTCAGCTTCTTGCAACTCGCAGCGCACGCGCTTGACCTTCTCGCCCTGCTCCTGCACCTCGGACTGCAAACGCAGGAGCCTCGCGAGGTCGCCCTCCAGCTGTTTCTGAATCCGCCGAACATGAGCGTGATGCTGTTGGGCGGCCTGGTGCGCCGAGACTGGCTGCTTCGCACGCTCCTCAGTAGCCGCCAGCGACTTCGCAAAGGACGAATACTTAGCGGCACCTGCCTTGTCTCCAGCCTTCTGACACAGCCGAGCCAACTCCGACGCCTCATCCTTGGACAAGTTGGGCACGGCCCCCACTGGCAGCGGCGCCAGCTGCCCAGCCCCCGCCGCGGCGGGACCAGGCTGAGGTGGGCCACTTGCCCATGTGCCTGCCCAACCGCCGTGAACTCCCCTGCCCTTGCCGCCGCCACCCAAGCCCCCCTTGCCTCCAATGCCGCCGCCAACGAAGCTTCCGCCCTTGCCCCCCATGAGTGGCCGAGATGGAAGAACGAGCCTGGGGGCGAAGCAGGACGAGCCCATGACCCTTGAGCAGCAGGTGGATGACCGACAGCGAGGCGAGGCAGAAGAGTGCTGCAATGGTAACAATGAGTGTCATCTGGAGCATTCTTCTTGCAACCGCAGCCAGGGCAAGCAGCTCCCTGGCCCTGCTTCTTCTTTCCCTTCCAACCTCCTTGGACAACTGTCCACGCATCTGGACGCACCCACGGCGCATACGAGAAAGATGCGGGCGCAGGAACCATCGAAGGACGAAGTGGGGAGGAAAAGAGAAGTTCCGTACACGAGACGCATTAGTGAATGTGAACCTGGCGGGCGAACGCCAGGGCAAGCAGTCGGGGGCCGCGAATCCCCCCCGCCAACCTCAAAGTCCTTGAGCAATGCCCCCGGACCTTGAGCCAAAATGGCTACGGACACCCTCCCCCTCCTCCCCCTCCTCCTCCTCCTCCTCCTCCTCCTCCTCCTCCCTCTTCCCCATTCTCCTTCTGTGTCTCTTTCTCCTCCTCCGCCTCTTCCTCATCCTTCTTTTTTTGTGCTTTACGTTGACTAGCCGAGAGAGGAGACAGTGGCGTGCGTGAGACAAGGACAGTGGCGTGCGTGAGAGGAAAAACGGCACATGTGATGTGGACCGTTTGGCGCAGAGAAAAAAGACACCTGGCGGGCGCCGCGGAGTAGAGGGGGGGCAAATGTGTGGCCAAGCGGGGAATTTCAACTAGGCGCCTGCCAGGTGCTACACGTGGCAGCAGATGCATCTAGGTATGATCTCCCCAGGTACATACATAATACTTGACCGCTTCCCTATGTTTTAAGGTACCTGCTGCCGTGGCAAAACGAGCTAGAGGTTAAATGTACGTGAGTGTGCATGCTGGCCGCGTGCAGTACTTGGGCGGCTACCCGTGCGGCAAGTGAGAGAATGTCTGGCAGGAACGATGTATGGTTGGCCAAGGTATGCAATCCTTGGGTTGCTACCCTTGTAAGACTTGCAAGGGTAAACTCCCTCCCAGTCCATAGTGCTAAAACCACTCCACCCCCCCCCCCCCCCCCAAGTCCAGATCTGCAGTGGGTGCAGTAGGTTGGAGGTGAGAGTTAAAACAGTGGAGGTGGATTGGATGTTGCAGTATGGCCTAAAGCCGCTGGCAGAAGGGTTTTGGGCAGGCACCATGAGTGCAGCTGCCCCACTGTAGCACAAGAGCTGGCTAGCAGAAGAGACGTGCCGCTGGCGCGAAGGTGCGAGTCTTCGCAAAGGTGCAATCTTGGGGCTGCTATCCCTTCTTGTGCTCAATCACTTAGGTGGCCACGCTAACACCGTGACCACGTCTATGCAAGAGAGTACCGCGACAGTTGGTGACTATCCATACTCCGTGGATCTGGGCAAAATGGCCGCGGATGAAACAGTGGCGTAGCATCGCCAAAGGTGCTGAGCAGGCTGGGTAATTTTCACAGGTGCGAGCTGCGCGTAGCTAAAGGGAGTTGGCGCTCAGAGACTAGCCTGTGAGTGTCCAAGAGCAACGCAGAGAGCATGGAAAGGGGCCCCGCCCTGCGTGTCAGGGGGGCCCGAAAAGGGATGAGGGATAGGACCAGAGGCGCAAACATGATCCTGGGGCTGCTACCTTACGTGGGTAAGAAGAAGCGTCTAGTAGGGGTGGCACAGTCTGTGTTGGCAGGCCAAGTGCAATTCTAATGCTGCTACCCGTGCAGGCGGTGAGAGAAGGGCTGACAAGAACAAGATAAGGCTGGCCAAAGTATGCAATCCGTAGGCTGTCACCCTTGTCACCGTAAGCGCAAACTCCTCCTCCACCCCACTAGTGCTAAAGCCCCCCCCTTCCCCAAGTCCATATCTGCGAACGCAACGGTGCAGATGCTGACAGTTGGTGCTGCAGGCTGGAGGTGAAGCAATGCAATGGAGGTCGACTGGACGCTGCAGTATGGCCTGGGGCGGTTGGCGGAAGGGCGTGGGGCAGACACCACAAGCGCAGCTGCCCCGCTGTAGCACAAGAACTGGCTAGCAGAAGAGACGCGCGGCTGGCGCGAAAGGTGCGCGTCCCAGCAAAGTGTGCAATCCTGGGGCTGTTGCCCTACTTGCGCATGGCTGGCGCGCGCGGCAGGCGAGGGTGGGTAACAGAAACATGCATGACAGGGAACTCTCAGGCGTGGCACAGTGCAAAGTAAGGAGTGGCAACTTGCAAAGTAAAGCAAGCCGCAACGACGGGGAAGGGGCGGGGGAGCAGGGGCGAGAACCGAAATCCTGAGCATCCGAGGGATGCGCAGGGCGTCTGCTGTCCGCATCAGTCAGTCGGGCACGGCGCCAGGGAGCGGGGGGGGGGGGGCAAGCGGACTCGCTTGGTGAGACCAGACGACTTGTTTTAACGTGGGGGGAGGTATGGGGGGGCAAGTGGAAATACGATGGCGACGGCAGAAGTGTCATGAAGCGATGTCGGGCTGCTGGCGGTGGGGCCTCCGTCTGGTGAGGGGGACAGCGTGCACGCAGTAAGTATTGCGCGCGCGAATAAGAGAACAAGCTACCACCAGGGAGCGCTGTCTGCGCGCGGACATTTGGGCCTGAGCAGAGGTATATGGCGGCTGCGGTATCAGGAGGAAGCATTGGGGAGGAGAGGAGGGCGCCAGCCATGGATGTTCGGCGGTAATCGGCGTCGAGGTGGAATTTGCCGTTTTTGTCGCGGCATGCCCAGTCCAATCTTTTGATTGGTAGATGCATGCGTCCGTGGTCGCCGCATTGTCGCTAGGACAGTGGCGTCGTCACGTGTGTGTGTGCGTGTGTGTGTGTGTCATGTGTTGCTGTTGCCGTCGGCTGGATGGGTCTGGCGCTGTTTGGGTTTTGGTAGTGGTTTGAAGATGAGTGGTGCTGGTTTACGCTGTGATGCTGCGTTGTATGGCATGCCATGTTGGAGGTTGCGCATGTGATCCTCCGTGCGGTGGTGTTCGCACTGCGCTTGTTGTGCATGCGCGATGACGATGTATTCGTGGAAGCGCGGGTCGCCGATGTTGCGAACGAAGACACGTCCTAAGCTGTTGATGCTGGTCCAGGGGGCTGTTAATGGTGTGTAGTCATGTGCCAGACGGTGCTTTGCTAGGGAATTATACCTGCCTGGTGGCGTATGTCTGTGGTGCTAGGTTATTGGTTGGTATATCTTGTAGCCACTGTGGTGTCATGACGTCTTCATGAGGTGTACAGACACATGGGAATCTTGAGTATAGGCCGTGCGGTGGGTGTAAGGGAGTCCTGTGGCGTGCTGTGGGTGCCAATGCGGTGTTGGCCTTTGAGGGTGGTGCTTCTGGCTCGAATATATCCGGGTCAGTAGATGGGTGGAGTATAGTTGATTGTTGAAGGTGTTTTTGTTGACTGGCGGAATTGGTGATGGTGCAGGCGTTGTCGGTCTTGTGTCGCGTCTGTTGTTTTTCGTGTGTGGCGTGGTCGTGGTGTCGTCCTCGCTGGAGCTGGTGTAGATAAGCGTTGGCTGGTCATGTCTGGCAGTGCTGTGATCTGCAGTCGGGTTGCGGACCTTCTGTAATAGTGCAGTTGTTTCGTGTACACTTACTGGTCAGTCGTATCTCATTTTGTCGTTGGCGTTGTAGCAGGTGTTGGGCCATTGCGAGACTCCCTGGATGGCTTGTTTGTTGTTGTTCAGTGGTACAGGGCTTCCTGTGAGTAACAAGTGGAAGTGGCGGTTGGTTGACTACCGCGAGTCTGAATGCTGCGTTGTTTCGAAAGTGGTTGGTGAATTTTTCCATGTCGTTGCCCAGTCGGAGTCGTTGTTGGTCGCGTGTGGACTTGTAAGGCGGAAGGTGCATGTCGGCATGTATTATGTGCTTTAGATGTGAGGAAATTGGTTTGTCCTGTGGGCGGTAGTTTGAAAGTCGAGAGTGGTGGTGCGCGTGGGTCAGGCCGTAGTGGAGAATGTGAAAGGTATTGTTGTTGGCCTCGGTAAACGAAAAGCTTGTCGTTGTACTTGTCCAGGTGCATGTGTCAACCTGGTAGGAGCAGATGGTCGTTTGGGAATTGGTACGTGTAGGTGTTTGTATCTTCGTAGTAGTAGACGGGTGCCATCGGTCGTCCTCGTAGCCGTTGGTGTCCGAGTTCCTGGCGTCGTGTGTGTCAACAGTTTACCCGTTGGGGCAGAGCAAATCGTGTTTCTTTTTGTGGGGCCATCGATGTAAGGTGCAACTCCTGTGTCTGCTGCGCCGTCTAGCTTGCCCTATTGGTCGTCTTGTCTGTGCTGATGTCGAGGTCGGTTGTGTCGTCAACTGGTATATATGCTGCACTGTCTTGGACGGGGCCCCATGGGTCGTGGGGTGGAGGCGGTTGTGGTTGCTGCTGCGGTGTTTTCCGTGTCGGCACTGTAGGTATTTGCGCATTGGGAGATGGTGTGGGTTCGTAGGTGGCAGTTCGTGGTGGTCTGTCTTGCTGGTGCGTTCTCTTGGGCCTGAAGACGATGTGTGGGATGCGCTGCTTTGGTGGTATTGGTGGTATGTGCCCAGTGAAATTGAATGTCGCTATTTTGCCGTAGTCGTATTGTTCTTGTTCTGCTATGAGTAGTTGTGCTAGTTCTCCTTGAACGAAGTTGTACGGTCGTATCCGATGTTCGTGGTTGTGACGACTCCGTCCGTTGCCTGAGGTTCTTTGGCTGTCTGAACTGGAATTGTGGACCGCTAGGATGTGGTAGTACAAGCGTGTCCTCCTCCTCCTTCTCCTCCCCCTCCTCCTCCTCCCCCCCTCCTCCTCCTCCTCCTCCTCCTCCTCCTCCTCCTCCTCCTCCGCCTCCCTCGAGCCATTTAGGCCCCCCCCCCCTGGGGCTGGCCCTGGCGCCTGCACGCGGCGCTTGAGGCATGCCGTGCCAACCTCTCCTCCCCACAGACTCGCACGGTAACCAAAGCCAGGGTTTCAGATACACACACCATGGTTTCTTCTCGCCTGTGGAGCCGCTGCTGGTCGTGTCCTGAGTGGAATGACACAA